AAATATATTAATCTATTATTAAAGGTTGAATAAGTTCAAAATGTTATTTAAAATCAGTTAGATGCCTTTTGTGTTAAGGGTAAGAAATAGAGGTTTATGGTATTTTAATAAATTCAATTATGACTGGAAATTAAATTGTCACATTTAAAATTCTTTCTATTGCAATGTGAAAAGGAATAGAAAATAATTGTTTTATAAAATTAAAATTCGATTTATTTATAAATTCTGGTTCTATATTCAAAATATTATGCACTTTATCCGACTATTTATTCGCTTTATTTCAAAATTGATCAAGAGCTGGATTGCAATCTAAATTTTGAACTTAAACAAAGTATTCGCTCATTTAGAGGTTACAGAGTAGCAGGTAAATTATAATATTGCATGAAATTGCAAATAATTACATTTATCGTCCAATAACGCCATCATTTGGCTGGCATATTTTCAACCGCAATGGCTTAAAACTTGGAAATACTAATTTTGAAATGTCTTGCAAAATAGATCATTTGCTAATCATTACTATTTATTTTATAAAACACCTTATCGCATAGCAAAATTTTGTTTTGGTTTAAGTGATTTTCATGTCGCAATTAGAAAAAATTCACATCATTACAAAATATGCTCCCGCATTTTCTCTCGATAGCATGTGTACTAATCTATTCAAGGTATGTGAAGAACGAAAAACTTACACAAGATAGACTTGTCAAATTATTGTAGCAAAATTTAATTTTAATATTTTATCTTGGCCAGCACAAGTCTCACTTAAATTACCCAAACTAGCACCTCCTTAATCAGATTTATATGCCCCATAGGTAAACGATATTCAAATTTGGAATTTTTTCACCCAAGAGGATTGAATGCACGAAACAGAATTAGAAACTTCAGATTAGTTTTACCAGGTCTAATGCAAATAATGCATCACTGGCCTCTCCTTACATAGCAAATGTCATTTCTAAAAAAGGTTATTTTTTCTATTGCCATTAACGCTGTTTTTTCTTTCTATTTCTGATCTTGACTTTTGGGAGCAGCTTGTTCTCCGTTTACCGTTTTTGGTTTAGAATAAACGTGGCCTCCATTATTAACTGACTGCCTGTGCTTGCGTGCTCAGTTAGATTACGAGATCTCAAAATATTTCTTGCCCCAATGATTGCAAATAACTTCAAGTAATTTACCTCTTCTCTTGATAGTTTAGATAAATATTGCAAACTTGCAAAGTGTTCATTTTACTCATTTCTCGACTCATATTTACTGACCCTGACAAGAAACTAGACTACAGGGCTATGTGGAAAAAATGCACCCATTTCTCCATCTAAACTGCCTTAACACTGTCCATAAGTTGAGTATGTACCTCTCTCCAATTTATCGTGAACAAGTAACCTAGCAGTGGTCGAATACGTATCTTGGGTTACTACAGGTTGAGGCAATATAGTACTTTAATAGGTGATATTAAAAGCCATGGGTTTCAATATAATGGAGGAAATAAAATCCTGACTGGAAAAAGGTATTTACCAATAGGGGAGGGGGGAGAGAGAGACCTCGTCGATCGATCAATCTACAGCTCAACGCATCTAGGTATATAATTTTTGCTTCAGTAATATATTTACATAGCAGTACTTGGAGCACCTAGAAATTAATACAGATTGTAATTCGGATTAATATATTCAAGATATGGAGTGTGCGATAGACTTACCTCCACGTGGTGCACCCTGGACAGCTGTGCGATAGACTTACCTCCACGTGGTGCACCCTGGGAAAAGTATGTTCATACGGCAAAAAAGTCTATAAACCAGCAGTTGACTTCTGACTTCAAACTTCCACCACCTCACTGTATGTCATATTCCACCACTTCCACAGTATTCATCTTACCATTTCTCTGCCAGTGTGTCTGCCTGTCTCTTTGACATTTGTGAATCACTGTTCCGCCCTCCCTCTCAGCTTTTTCTCTCTTTGTTGTTCCTCCCCACTGTGAAGTACGAAGTCAGCTAAAGGGCTATTGACAAGAATCAAAACGCTTGTCATTTGAAATATATATATATATATATATTCAAGATATTACACATGATTTTAAACATTATTTGAATTGGCTGTAAGTCAGCGACCACTTGAAGTTTTACTGCCAAAATTTCATCAATTACGTGGCCATTACAAGTTCGATCTGTAGTCTAGAAAAAAGGCGCATTTAAAGCAGCGGATTTTTTAACTTCTGCATGACCAATAAGATAGTTTTATGTCTTGAAGTACGCTGAAGAAACTGAATATTGCATAAATCTAAATGCTTTGAGTAATTAAAAGTTTGCTAAAAAATCTTGTTCCTTGTTTGTAGCGGTGTGAATTGAGATGAAAGTAGTGAAGAGTACATGATAATTTAAAAAAAAATAACGTATTCACCATTTATTATCGAAATTGTAGGACATTGACTGAATTTCAGCTGATGAACCATGTACTCTGAATTTGGAAGAACATTTTAATTTTAGTAATGGGTTAAGTTAATGGGTAACTAATTCATATATTTGAGACCTCCGTAGATACTTTTCCAATCTCTAATTGACCTATTTTTTAATTTAATTCCAATAACATCACATTAGATTAAGATGTATACTCAAGTAAGTCAGCTCAACAGTGAAGAGGGGAGTTTCTAAAAGAGGAAATTCAAAATATCTGAGAGTCGTGATTCATTTGTTTTCGTTTCCAAGATTCAGTGAAATTAGCATTTACGCAATGGGTTTTCGACATTTTAAATTTCAAACTTTATTTTTCGCCGCCAGAATCGGTGAGTGTGTTTCTGCCCACCAAATCCAGCGTTTATTGGCCGTTTGTTCAATTAGGATGGTTGGGTTTTGCCAAGCAAAGTCCATTTTCTCTCCAAAGTTTGAGAGAGTAAATTAATCCCAAAATGGCAATGTTCACATATTGGTATAACCTCGGTAATAAAACAAAGTTTCCATACCACTGATCTCTGCGCTACGCTATTTCAAGTATTGGCTTTAATCATAAAATGTTCAATTTCTCTTCAATGGTTATCTCAGGCAAAAGTGAATCAATAAAATATGGACATTCTTTTTTTGCTTAAAGAAATTATTACACCGCATTGTGGTTTCATAACATTCAAGAGCGTTACAAATCATACTTTAATATTCTGAATCCGAAAATTCTCAGCTTTGCATTGCCACGTCTTAACCCGAGTAGTTTATGTTATATTCCTTGATAGGCCTTGTAATAACTTTTAATTAGTAGATATGAAACGTAACTTTGTGAATCAGATGGTAATAACGAAATTCATTTGTTTGAAATGAAGAGAAAAATCTCGGAATAAAGCTTAAAACATTTTTTTTCTGAAAATAGATGTCACATTGAGAAGGCGTAAAAGGAAAAAAAACCCAAAGGAATACAATCAGTTACCATGTTGATACTAATATTTTTCTTGGAAATGCTTGACAACCTGTCACAGTTCAGAATTGAATTTACCTCTCAATAGAAACCTAGATAAAAAGGTAAAAGGCGTTCTCTCCTCTTTTCAAATTTATGATTTTTTAAAGTAAATAAACTAAAAAAATTTCGAAAACACCCATATTCCATTTTATTTCGGCCAGGAGTGGACAAATTACATTGCTGAAAGCCTTATTTTTTATTTCTTTATTAAAAGCCTTGGGCCACTGGATTTTTAGAAATTCGGATTTTGAAATAAACCATTTGAGCTTTTCAAACTTTGCACCTCTTGAGTACCAGGTGCTATTCCAGTATATAAACACATATATCAGGCAACGCTGATTTTTAATAGGAAAATTAATTAAATTCCCAGAAAATCTCTTTATTTCACACAACTAAATTAAAAAAAAACTTATTTTACCAATATTTCCATCACTAGTCACATAATGTAATGACCTTAGCCCAATGCAAGTAGGTGATTGGCCACGCCATTCCCCACGTCCGCATTCATTGGCTACCGGTATGCGTTTGTAGCGTGACTGGCAAAACTAGGCATTTGCCTCCCATGCGTTCACTTGCTCTTGAAAGCGTGCATACACATTGACACAGAATAGCATAGGATAGGTAGAGACACACACCCATAAAAGTACCAGGCGCAGATATTTTGGGTCTACCAAATTCCCAAATGATCTTCAAAAATGAGTGATCCTCACACTGCAGATCCTCTTCAGGTGCCAGATATTGAGATAACAGAAAACTACTCTTCTACTTCCCACCTCAGTTCCAGTGTTGAACGACTGGTTGAAGTCACTCGTCGTCTCACTGTCTGTAACCAACTCGAATCCGCCTTGGAATCTCACGATAATGTTTCCACATCTGATCAATGCGTTTGCCAACACAAAGTTTCTCCAACAGATGTGACTTCGGAATTAGTTGCAGATAAAGAGCCTAAACCTATCTCTGACACTGGCTCGAGTTCCACAATTTTCGGTTCAAGTAATTTCACCATTCCGGATAGTACAACACGACAGTCACCCCAAAGCAACACAAAGAAATGGGCTCGTTTGCTTGGCATATCCCCTGAGGATATTGGAGATGAAGAGGAGTTTATCGTAAGTTCGCAGTGAAGATGCAAATTAATTGAATTTTAAATATCACCGCCTCTTGGGCATTTTATTTAACTAACAGTTTTAAGCAAATGCACAACACTTGTCAGTTTAAAATGGAAGCCTGCCAGTCATGTAGAATTTGTCTTTTTTGGACTAACGTGAAAGTGAATAAGCGAAAGCTGCACATTTATCACTATAATGTTGCTACTGTTGAAAATAATTGTTGTAAAGTTTAATTATTAACGCGTTTACCTAAGGTGCTGTAAACGAAAAGTGAAAGGACCTTACTATTTGAATGACTCTGTCCTATGTTCGATTTCACTTAATTTCATTTCTTAAATGTGCAAAATTTGACGATGAGCAGAAAATTCCCCCCCCCCCCCCCACATTAATAGTATATCATGAATTATGGCAACATTTCAAGGATTGGTTAGAAATGGCACTTTTGTTACATCGTTGGATCTCTTAATTTAATTTACTTTTTATTATCTAGGAATTCGGATGAATTTTGAGAGAAATTTTTTAACTTTACAACTTTTAAACAATTGAAAATAATGATTACTTGTGTTATATATTTTAAAATGAATTTTTTCTCTTTACGTCAGCCAGTGTTCAGCCTAATCCCTAAGGTACTTTCAAAGTTAGTTAACACCAAACCACGAACAATGTGTACCATTTTTTCACCATTCCGGATAGGGTGCGATGATATTTCGGATTGTTCAGTAAGAATGGCAGAATATTCTTGCATTAGTTAATTCAGTGCATTTTTGTGCATTTTTATCGATATTTTGTAACTTCAAATTTTTCTAATTGTTTAAATAACTAGTTCGTGAGCCATTGATATTCCTCAACAGGTGTAATACAATCTCACTTTCAGGGCATATTTTGTAAGTTGTTTTACAAATACATTTGATTTCATTTAATGAAAAAAAATCAAGAATTAGATCTAATTATCCAGGGATTGTGTCAATGGTGTTAAGAAACGCTATCAAGAGGTTAATAATGCGAGCTTTGCTAATTGACTTCATGTGGATTAGCATTTTTGCATATTATGCAATATGCTAATTAGCCTCGCTCTTGCCCAAATATTAAACTTGCTTTGGGTACTATGGGAGCATGGGAAATCATTCTGAATTCACCAAGGGGTTTTTACCAAGATAAGATTAAATACCTGTTGTTTTTCTTTCAACGCCTAAGATCATGCCAACTGCCGGAATTCTCATTCTCATAAAAACCATCATAATTAAACCACTGACCAAAACGTTCTGAGCATTGCAGATAAGAATTCCATCAACATTTCAGAAGATCATGAAGTTGAATCTTTAAGCATGGCGCAATGAAATATTCACTCGAAGAATATTATGAAATCGATATATTTCTTGGGACCGTTCCCCCCACACACCTCCCCCCCCACCCCCACCCCCTTTCCCAGTTCCACTCACATCCCCTAAAACCTTTTAAGTATTTTGCCTATCTGTTTTCAGTCGCTCTGCTTTAAGATCTAATGCCCTAACTCGCTAAAGTGTAAAAATTATAATTTAAAATTCCATATAAAATTTCGTGCTTAAATTACCAAACAGATTAAACAACTTGATATAATTATAAATCAACCTGAAGCTTCATTGATGTTAGCGAGATTTCAAGCCTTCAAATTTGAAAGTGGACAATATTTAAGTGATCTAGGCGTGAAACTATCGAGTTTCAGTGAATTTCTACATATATATAGGCACATTTGCTGAACATGAAAATTAAACAATAGTGTTTTTATTTCAAAATATTTTAACTCTAGAATGCAGCCATTGGAGATTAAGAGTGGATTGCCCAGAATAAAATGCCTTTTTTCCCAATCGATTATCGATGCAAGTACTGTTAAGATTTAAATCGACCATTTTGAATTATGTAAGATGTGCATAGTCCACAGATTTTTAATTGAAACCATGATCTTAGCTTCTTAGTAAATAGCCATGTTAATATCAAACCAATTTTGAATTTTTTGCTGCATTATTCAATTCAGATGACAATTCAGCGCGTGATTAGTAACAGAAGCTATTTTTCTTGTTCAAAATTTTTCCTTTAATAAAAAAATTGATAGAAAGTTTCATTAGTTTGCTCCTACAGGACAAATTTTGAGTTAAGACTTGAAGGAACCAACAATCCATAAACAATTTGCCCAAAACCAGCCCATCAAACACCAAATATATCTAAGTGAGAGACTGCGAAAGGCTTTCATTTTAAAATTAATGTAAGGCAAACGTTAGCGTTGGTTCAAAGACGCAACTTTCTTCACTCGCTCTCTCTCTCTCAGATCGTAAAGATAGTTCCAGGTCAATCTTGGGGAGCGGGTTAGTGGGGGATGACCGCAAAAATGTCACCAAGGCAGTGAATACAGTGGGGGTAGCATTTTGTACTTTTGCAAATTAACCAACTTTTACGATGAAGGCGCGTGAGGTAAGAAAAGTGTGCAGGGATATGCAGCAATCGCCACAATTCTACAGAAGCGGGTTGCCAATTATTGGCGAAAGTATGGATTCGCCTTAAGGGAAATGGGCAACACCCCACGGGGTGCGAGCGACACAATTTGCCATTCGAAGGGCATTTGTTTTACATGTGGCAATTCATTACTTTATATTTCCAAGCGCAGTTGCCATATTCAGTCTTTTAGATTAGTGATTAAATTCTTCTTCGCTAATTCCCTTGGTCCATCGATTGAATTTTTAACGCTGGTTAATGTTTTCCGCACCTCAATTTGCATTTTCTCGATCCCATATAATCATGATAAACGTTCTCAATTCACTAGGAGAAATTTATTTCTATCCTGCCTATGATAAAAATCAATTTCCTTCATGAATGCGATACTAAGGAAGATGTTCCAAAAGCAGTGTTTTTTTATTTTCATTATTATACAAATTAACCTCGTTACCTGGAATCGAGCGGAATTCTTATAAAATATTTATTGGACGCCTTCCTTTTACTTTATCAAACATTTATACATTATACTAAGTGCTTTATTAATTTTATGTCCCGTCTGACTAGGATATTTCGCCCTTGATTTATTTCCCTAAATTGCATCTTGCTTGCTTCCAAGGTGATTTATTTCATTTCTGCTTAAGGAGAGAATACTTTAGTTTGTCTTGGGGCAGGCCAATTCATTTTAAAGGTTAAAATGAAACATTTATCTCGAAGAATAAAGGTATACTAAAAATTTGGAACCTGGAAAATTTTTACAGATTAGTCTAGAATTTTCTGTAATTTATCCGACACCAATGCTGTATCTTCGCTTTAACTGAATTTGAAAGGCATATATATTCTACAAGACCATTTTTTTCTAATTTAACAAGAAAATACTTAGTTTGGATATTTTTATCCCTTTATTTGAGGTTATCATTTAAATCCTAGTTGGACAGATGTTCTGAAGCGTAAACAAAAATTAGAAATATGCTCTCTATCATTGCTTTACTTTGTCAGACACATCGCTTAGTTACCGATAAATCTAAAAAGTGTAAGCTCGGAAGTATTGAAGCGCGGCAAGTGAATTGAGGATATACAATTGTGCCTTAGCTGATTGGTGGGAATGCTGTGATTCCAAACCCGAAGTCACTTAGCAAGTTTAATGAGAGAGCGGTAATCATCAAGCTGGCCAACTTTACCCATCAACCTGGGATTATTAGTTCGAATTTAAATGCAAGTCTTTATTAAGTTATTATTATTTTGATGTCCTCTTATAAGTATCCGTTTTTTACGCAACTCTAAAGTACAATGGTCGGGATACTCATATCTCCAATTCATTAATTAAAATTGATGAAAAATGTTGGATAAAATTATAAATTGTATCCAAAAAATATAGATTAACAATTGTTATTAATAGTGCACAAAATTTGCTTATTTTGGTTTGAATCTACTAAATTGCAGGGTTCTTAATATTGGTATAAAGTCTGCCTTTTGAGCATTGACGCACTTTTATTGGGTTCTGTGATTTGTGACCATCTTGATGAACATGATATGGATTATAGCATAAACTCCAAATCGCATCGCAATAAGAATTAGGCGATATTTGAGGTAATTCTAAACTTCCCTCATTAAATAAAGTACTATTAGCCTTAAATTAAAAATTTATTTATATTTATTTCAAATGGCAGGCATTTTGACAGTTATCACTAGCCCTTTAGTTGACGTCGGGCTTCACAGAAGGGAGGAAGATTAAAGTGAGAAAAATTCGACAGGGGGAAAGAAGAGCGATTCACAGATGTAACAGACAGACAGACACAAAGGCCGAGAAAAGGCTAGATGATTACTGTGGAAGGGGTCGAATATGACATACAGTGGGGTTATGGAAGTTTGAAGTCAGAGGTCAACTGCCAGTTAATAGACTATTTTGCCGTATGAGTATACGTTGCCCAGGGTGCACCACGTGGAGGTAAGTCTATCGCACACCCCTTTTTTCTTTTCCGATTAATATTGTAATTTAAAACCCTAAATGTGCGATTTGAGAGTATTCTCTTAGCACGCTTATAGTGAATCGTGGTAATTTTTAAAAGTTTGATCGTAGTTTTCATGTATTTAAATAGCTGCATGAGTTATTAATGCCAAGACCAAACTGCAGATATCACTTATGAATGTTTTGCGAAAATTTATTTTAGAAATACATAAAATCATTTAAAAAGATTACCCTATAATCTACTAACCAATACAAAAAAACTATTTCGTGGGAAATATATTATGTGCTTAATAATTAAAACCTACAACCGTGAAGTTAATATGAAGAAATTTATTTGCTAATTTGATTGAAAATTTTGGTGAAGTTATATTAAATACAATAAGTCATTTGTTGATTACATGGCGACAGTGAGACATAACAGACAATCCAAAAGTTAGAAGCGTTTATAAAACACAGTAGATATTTTAAATTTGTGAAGTATAAAACGTTTAGATTAAGAATTTCGTTTTCATTATTAATCTTCTTTTTCCGATGATAATTGGGTATTCTTTATTGTACATTAGTCATCAAACAATCTTTACGCGAGTAAAACTTTCCAATATGCCATTTGAGTGATGTCAACGCCTTCTGGTGCGTTTCAAATTCCACTTTACACGAGTAGGGGGGGAGGTATTTCTTTCCAAGTTCCTTTAATTTTAAAAAGCTGAAAATATTTAAAAATCAAGTATAGATAATAAAACAGTGAGCAAAGTTTATTGAAATGTTTAAAAGAATATTGGATTGTTTGTAAATATTATTTGTTAGAAAACAGTTTATAATGGGCAAAATGATAACGGGTATTAAACAGAATTATATTTAAAATGATTTAAACTAATTAAATGCTCTTTAATTTAATCAAGTAAATCATGACGATCTGATTCCATATTTTGTAGTTCGCAAGTCTAAGATCACATTTGTCAGTTTTTTCCACTTACAAAATTAAGTTTTGTTGATTAAAAATGTGTTCTACTAAGGACAACTTAAATAAATCGTCCTAATGTTTATTTATTTCAAATGGCAGGCATTTTGATAGTTATCATTAGCCCTTTAGCTGACTTCAGGCTTCACAGAGGAGGGGAAACATCAAAGTGATAAAACATCAAGAGGGGGGCACAGAATAATGATTCACAGATGTAAAAGAGACAGACAGGCACAAATTTTGAGTAAAAGGTAAGGCTGAAATGATGGAATATGACATACAGTGGGGTGATGGTAGTTAGAAGTCAGAAGTCAACTGCCAGTTAATAGACTTTTTTTGCCATATGAGAATACGTTGCCCAGGGTGTACCACGTGGAGGTAAGTCTATCACACACCCCGGAGTTTTCGAGTAATTGAGAGTAAAGTGAAAAATTAATCTTCCTAATATATACACACAAAATGGTATTTCAGAGAGCTGCTACCGCTCTTACAGCCCAGGATCCAATACGCCAGGCCAATACAATGAGTGCAGTGGAGCAGAGAGTACTCCGAAAAAGCTGGAATGCTGCTCTTGATGCTGCACACTTTGGAAGCTTGGAATCTATGGAGGCTTCTTGTGGGCATTCTCTTCGACGAAGTTCAAGTTGGAAAGATAAAATGTAATTTAATTTTCAAGACT